TGTCCTATTGTCACCATCTGGGCCTCTGAGGTAAGATATATAGTAGAATGGTTCTATATCTGATATTATACAGTACGCTACAGGGTTCTCTCAGGTGAAGGTGTGATGTAAAGGAGAATATTCTGAAGATTCTCCACATCTGGATAAAAAAAGTCTGGGCTACCAAATGTTACTTAGGAGAAATCTGCATAGTAAACAGAGAATTCTCAATCTCCCATGCCCAATGAACACCTTGTAACTGACTAGAATACACCTAGGCTTTTGTGGTATTGCAACCAGGTTAAGCTTCATTTACCTGTGACTCAGACCTGCTTAAGTTTGTTATTTCATCTAATACAAAGCATATGTTTAAGTAATACAGTAAGTTGCTGTTCATCATTGGCTTTGATTCTTTGTCTATGAAAGTATTAATTGCCTAATCTATTGCTGTTGTTATGCTTTAGAATTGGTCCATCTTACAGTGCTTTATAACCCATCCTCCCCTTCTAAACTTAGTATGCTTCAAAATACAGACCACTCAAACTGTTTACAATAGTAAGAAGGATATCTTGAGGTAGAAGAGAGCTTTGGGTCTAAATGTTTGTGGTTGTTACTCAGTTTACAAACCTAAAGTAGTAAGTAGGTGGCAAAATTCCACTGGAGGCAGCAACATTGCCAGCTCCAGCTCATTTGACTGAGCTAAAATAATGAAGAGGATTTCAGTTATTCCATCGTTAATGTTTTTTGTACCACTCCATGGTATTGCTTGAATGTGAACTGATTTTGTATTTTATTTTGATCAGATTTAAAAGCAGCGTCCTCCTCAAGAAAATGAGTATCTCACTGTAACAACTTATCTGGGAGTAGACTGTACAATAACTATGAAGGGATGAAAGTAAGTGTGCAGTAACCAAGTTTGTAAATGCAATGTGGAACCTCATTAATACAGTCACCAATGGGTCCAGAAAATTTGGCCATATTAACTGGGTGGTATTACCGAGGCAAGGTCAAATTTCATGACTTGAGGCCATAATGACAAATACACCATACATCACATTCACACTTCTTGAACAACTGTTCTATTTATTAAAAAATATTATATTATAAGATCGGCTACTAAACCACCCAAAATATGCATTTTAAGTGTCCTATAGTCTAAAAACAATACAAGAAGACTGACTCAGCTTACTACATGTACGTCAATGAAATTGACATGTCACCGGCATTTAATTTTCTAAACTTTGGACAAGTGGCCATATTAATGGTATGGAATTATAAAAGATTCTACTGAGATGATTATTTTAAAATGCGGCTGTTGTGCAGTTTTTTTATTAGAAAATGTATGGCCATTTTGCTGGGTCAACAAAAGTGGCCATTATGACAAGGTGATCTTATTACCAAGGTGACCGTAAGGCGGGTTTTCACTTTATGTTGAAAAATGTACTACAGAGCATGAGAAAAGCGCTGTCCTGTACCCTGTATTTGTAGTAGACATGAAATGCCATAAGCTGCCATTAATGAAGAGTAAAAGTATTGTTATTGTAATAACGTAGTTATACATAACTCCTTGGCTCATTGCTTTTATTTGCTAAGGGTATTGGCGAGAGGTTACATTCAATACTCAGCAGAATATGTTTTATGATTTGGGATCACCACTGGCAGCAGAGCCAAGACCACAAGGTATGTACTATTAATGTTATTGACTGCTGCACGGAAATGTATTTTTGTAGAAGTTTAATTTTAATTTTGCAGATTAGTTACCACGTAGGGAGATTGAAAGGGGAAAAAAGGATCCCATGGAGTAAGGTACCAGGGATATGAAGGGGTCATTTCAAAGGGAACAGTCAGGACTATAGGAAAGATGCAGAGAAATAAAATGACAGCTAACACTAGAGGAATGGTTTGCCAAATAATTTATTATTACTTCATGAAAGTTTTTCTTGTAATTTTTTTTTTTTCTTTTTGCAGTTCGACATCCAGCAACTGTTCTCCAAAATGGTAGGGACAATAATTCATTAGAAGAACAAATTGTGGCCTTTTTCAAGTTGCCATGACAAAATTAGTCAAGTAACTTTATTTAAAACAGACAAAAAACTGTCAGTCGGAGGCTCATTTTCAAGGTGCCTTCTTGATAGATTTAAACCAGAGTTAAATAATATATGTGCAGAGAATCATTATAAATACTAAAAGTATTAAGACTCAATCTTTTCAAAGATTAAAGGCAAGTACCATCAATAGTCTCTTAAGCAACCACCTTGGGAATCCATAATAGTGGTGGCATCCATTTACAAAGATATGCTCTGCTGTAGGACTCGGGGACGGCTGATAAACTTCCTGTTAGTGGTTACTTACAAAAGCCTTAAGCTGAAAGCTAATGGTGTGTAATTACCCAATAGGCTCTGCTGTAGGACTCGGGAACATCTGATAAACTTCCTGTTAGTGGTTACTTACAAAAGCCTTAAGCTGAAAGCTAATGGTGTGTAATTACCCACATACATTTCAGCTAAATTAATATTAACAGTTTCTAATTTATTAATCATAACATTCAAAATTAATTCGTGGTCATGCAAATGTACTATGTATGATCAAGTGTTGACTGAGTGGTTCCTTACAAGAACTTAAAAGCAAAGGAAAAACAATGGTCATTAAGATTATAGTCCTTAGAAAATTGTTGACTTTATTTGGTCTGTGCAACTGTAAAATTTAATTTCACAGGCTCATCTCAAGGTGAAGCGAGTTACAGTGAGCTACAGACTATGCAGCGGCCGCCCAATACTATCCCACAAAGCCCACCAGGTATCAAAATCACAGCTTTGGAATGAACGTTTTTGCTTCTCTCTTTTGGAATATTCAGTAATAAGTTACTTATCACCTGTACTGATGTTTTTTTTGTGCATAACTTGTTTAACTTATTATTTCATTATATCTTTGTCCCTAGGATCTCATTATGGTGACGTAAATGTGGAATTGCCACCTGTTTACAGGCGGCACAATTTTATTCCTCCCAGCCCATCACGGCTTCCTCCAAGCCCACCACGGCCTGGTAAGTGAATCCAAAGTTGCAAATAACAGTTAGACAGTGTGCAACTGAGATATGCTCCATATTCAATGAAGTCTTACCTGTGGTCAGGCATGATGACCAAAATAGATAAAATACCAAAGATAAACATTTTAAAGCTAAAGATTTATGGAAGGTGACCAGAGGAGCCTGCCATCCTAATCTCCAAGCTGCTAGCTTTCATTTGGGCTTCAACTAAGAATGAATGGAATGCAAGGGAGACAAGAAATTAAAAGTCATGTTTACAGGTTGCATGATGTTTGCGTGCTTTCAATAATTAAACATGACAACAACAACAACAACAACCAACCAACCACGTTATTTTGCCAACTTAAAACATTGACAAGAACAGCATAAATTAAAATAGATCAGGCAAAAAAACCACTCAGAATAGCAAAGAAGAACTAAACGACCTCAGTAGTTACAACAATTAAATTACATTTTATAGGGTTGCAACACACAAAAGATAGAGGAAAAATGTCATAAATTTAGGAGAGAAAAAAGTGATAAAAAATAAATTTTAATTAATTGATTTAATTAAGATAAAATAGAACAACTTAAAAGGAAAAAGCAAACAAACAAAAACAAAAAATGGTACCAGAGAATCATAAAGTTTACATTAATAAGGGTAAGTTATTCGATACTGTCCAGCATCCACAGTAAGTTGATAATCAAAATATCTGTTTTCATCATTTGCTTGAATAGATTCAGGGAACTGCTTTTTAAATTTTCATCCAGATTATTCCAAACAGATGTAAGTGAAAAGAAATTGTCAAAAGCCTAAGGTAGTAGATTGTGATGGAAATAAAAAGTAAAAAAGGGCAGTATGAATAATCACAAGATCCATGAGCTTGATTAAACCGAGCTGTGAAAACAGTGGGCTAGAATGAGTTCAGTAAGATTATAGTCCTTAGAAAATTGGTGACGTTATTTGGTCTGTGCAACTGTAAAATTTAATTTCACAGGCTCATCTCAAGGTGAAGCGAGTTACAGTGAGCTACTGACTATGCAGCGGCCGCCCAATACTATCCCACAAAGCCCACCAGGTATCAAAATCACAGCTTTGGAATGAACATTTTTGCTTATCTCTTTTTTGGAATATTCAGTAATAAGTTACTTATCACCTGTACTAATGTTTTTTTGTGCATAACTTGTTTAACTTATTATTTCATTATATCTTTGTCCCTAGGATCTCATTATGGTGACGTAAATGTGGAATTGCCACCTGTTTACAGGCGGCACAATTTTATTCCTCCCAACCCATCACGGCTTCCTCCAAGCCCACCACGGCCTGGTAAGTGAATCCAAAGTTGCAAATAACAGTTAGACAGTGTGCAACTGAGATATGCTCCATATTCAATGAAGTCTTACCTGTGGTCAGGCATGATGACCAAAATAGATAAAATACCAAAGATAAACATTTTAAAGCTAAAGATTTATGGAAGGTGACCAGAGGAGCCTGCCATCCTAATCTCCAAGTTGCTATATGCATGCTGTGTATATTAAATTTACTGTAATTAGTGCTGACCTGATCGATATAATAAGTTGACTTTGATGACAGCCTAGCACTATACCCATAAGAAGGTTGAGTTTGATCGTCCGGTGAATGTAGTCCTAACAGTTTTACTATACCCATGCTTAGACGATATATAAGTGAAAGGAAGTTGTCAAAAGCCTTAGGCAGTAAATTGTGATGGAATTGAAACATAAAAAGGGCAGTATTAATAGTCACAAGATCCATGAGCTTAATTAAACCTAGCTGTGAAAACAGTGGGCTAGAATGAGCATCTCGATTAAAATATGTAATTATTTGCACTGCCTTTTTCTGTAAAACTACAACAGGGCTTAGAGTTGTAGCATAAGTATTACCGCAGACAAATATTATTAAACCATAAGTTAGGAAAGAAAGATGGTTTACCAATATCAAATAACAGTGACGTTTTGAAATTTTTCTTCATAGTCA